AGGAATTTGGCAACATCCGCCTTTGCGAACGTTGCTAAATACCTGATTCAAGAGACTCCTCACATTTCATCTATTTGTAATCCCATTTATATGGCAATTGACTCCATACCGGAGTCACAATTTCTATCAGCAAACAAAAGCATTATTAGTTTTGCAACATACTTGAATTTGTAGCTGGGAAATTGTTTTTTAAAGTTCTTTCCGGATGCTTGGCTGGGCAATGTTGCCAATGCAAAAGATCTGCTCCTGAAATGGTTCCAATGAGGTAGGCTATTGGCTGGAGTCACCATGATAGATGGATAGGAATTGGGAGAAAGTTGTTGATTTGCTTGCCTTGGACAAACAGGCTGAAACTTGCAAAAATGTGATAAAACTAGATACCTCCTTAAAAATTATAAAAATCAAAGGGAAACCTATGGTAGTCTGGTTTGCAGTTTGCACTTTTGAAAAAGCAGAATACTCAAAAAAAATTGGGTGTATAACATGGAGGACTAAGACTGTTAAAATATAACTCGTGTTAAAAGTTCAGTAGAAAACCACTTGTCATTAACAAAGTGTTTAAGAACCGTTTGGTAATGTATATTACAAATAGGAATAGTGCATAATTTTCTTTTGTGCTTTCTGGAGGATGAAATACAACATGGAGAAGACTTGGTACTGTAGAAAAGAATGGAGTTATCATATTTGTATGGACATAGGCTATTCTTGAAAATCTTGCAAAAATTGTAACATCTAGGCTACTTAAAATGCAGTGAATTTACGATTAATTTCATTTGTGGCCAGTTTACTAGTATATACATACATATGGAGTATTGCTTACCTGTGAGCATTTGACAGACTGCTTTTTGCCTGCTTTACGTGGGACAAAAATCATGGCAGCAGGGAGAGGCAGAACAAAATTCTAGATGCTTAGAATAATTTAATTTGCTTTTTCAAAAAATTTGTAAGTTTTCTTTCATAGTTTGTTTTTAAGGAAAATCAGGTTTAATTCTTTTCCTTCTTTTAATTTCCTAAGAGTTTCTAAACTGATATTGGAACTAAATGTTTGTACTTAAACATTTCAGTGTTCACACACATACACACACAAGCTTATTTGAACAGTCCCTTTCAGTACTAAATATACAGATTTTGATTTATATACATTGACTTGCTTTCTTTTGATGTGAGATGCAGCTACTGCTTTGAAATGCTCGTTTATCTTTGTTGATTAGCAATTGTTTACTGTAAGACAGAAATGTCATACTCAGGGTTGAAATGTGTGTTAGGCAACACATCTCCAAAAGAGTATTCTCTTTCATGTAATACTGAAGTATAGTTTGCATTGAAATGGAAGTTTCCCTGACTTCATGTTTAAAATGAAATCTCTTGAATGTGGTCATGGTATTGATACTTCTAAGTTTTTAACTCAGGGAGCCAGTGAAGCTGGGCAAGGAGAGGGGCATTTCTCCTTCTTTCCACCTTTCTTTTGAGCTGAGCATCCTCTGCCTCCAGGCCCTTTCCCAAAGCAGAAACGCTCTAGTGGTTGTTTTGCTCCAGCTCTGAAGAGAGGGAGAGGTGTGCTGCCTTAGAGTAGTCAGGCGCCTGAGTAGATTGAGCAGCACAGGGTGGTACACAGAATTAGTATTGTGGCTTTGGAGGTAATATCCATTCTTAATATTCAGTATTTGGAGTTCCGTATAATACAGTGGTACTGCTGTATCACTATTGGGAGCATTTCCTTGTATTTTGAAATTATTTTTTTATATATTATATTTTCATATCAGTATTTAAAGAAGAACTGAAAAGTATTTTTCACAGATCAGCACAGAATTTAACATTCAATGCACTCTGCCACATGCATGGTTTTGGAAGTTATGCAACGTCTTTTATAGAGTTGTGTGTTCTGATGATCTAGGCTTGCTCAGTTATTGCTTAGAAATATAAGTGTATTAGGAACAATATATGATACAAAACTTAGGTCATGACAAACTACTATGTACCTCTAAATATAAAAGTTATTTGCAGTAAGGTTCAAGTAGAAATAGCTTCTATCATTATGTGTACTGATTTTAAAAATACCAAGTAGAAAAGACTAAGTTGCTGTGGCGTAGGGCTGTACACAGTCTGGTTGTGGAAAGAATTTGCATGGAGGTGTTTCGTATTTAGTTCAGACAGAAGAAGACAGAAAACAAAGTGCCCAACACAGAAGCAATTGCTATTGGTTATCTGCAGACTGCAGTTGCCGAGGAGAGGGAGGGCTGTAGCAGGGCATATTGTCACCTTGGCGCTGAGGGAGTGCCCTTCCTGACAGGCTGCCGGTCGTTATTCCAAATTGCAGAGGTACTAGATCACCATAGTGCAATTGCTCAAGCAATTTTTTTAAGATGAGCAAAGCGCATTTTTTCTGATCTCATTAATGGAGGAGGCTGGACCTGTTTCTCAGAAACATTACACACAGAAAAATTACCCTGAGGCAAACACCTGGCATGAAGAAATTTTGCCTGAATGCTAATAGTTTGGCAATATTTTAATAAGAAAATGAAATCAGTATGTAGTAATGGGAATTCAGCTACAGTGATTGCTACCAGATCCACCAAGAATAATGGACTTTCATACCAACCCAGACTTACGACAAATATTGTGATTGTAGGTAACTAAATGACCATGGAATCTGGAGCAGAGAACCAGCAGAGTGGAGATGCAGCCGTTACAGAGGCAGAAACTCAACAGATGACAGTACAGGCACAACCACAGATTGCAACGTTAGCCCAGGTATAAAATCATACAATGTAATAGTTTTACCTATTGGATAATTTTTTTAAGAGGGATAATGTGTGCTCATGGGCCTGAGAGAAGGTTCCATTGATATGATTCTGAAACAGGTGCGATGTATAGTTCCTTTAGTATTTGTCTTCACATTTTTAAAACAGTAGAGATTTTTAACTTCCCGTCACACTAGGCTGTGTAAGTTCTGAAGAACTATATGTGTGTTAACTGTAATGTTAACAGAATAATGAATGAAAATATTTCTACAACAACCGTACCACTGAAAGATTGGGGTTTTTTTCAAAACATGTCATTTACTGTCTTTTTTATATTGACTGGATTGTTTTGCTGTTATGTTTTCTGTTAGAAACTTGTCTATAGCAGTCAGTTTAATTCTGAAGAAAACAAACTGAAAATATAGAGAAATAATGCAGCAAATACAACATCTTATCAGTTGGGATTAATATTATAAACATTATAATCAAGTGGAACAACCTGGCATTTGACAGCTCATGTTATCTTGTGTCTCCAGAATGTCACAGAATTATTGGCTGTTTAGAGAGACTGTAGTAGATCATGTATTATCCCCAAATTATTTTGGAGAGACGAGAAACCAGCTACATCTCTAATTTTAGAACCTGGTTTTGTTCTTGGATACGCTGATGGTTGGCAGAAGCAACTCCATTGTGTAAATGAGTACAGAATCTGTTCAGCTTTCTTCTGTAACCATTTGATTTTAAAACTGTCTACAGTCTGCAAAGAACAAACAGGTCTTTTTTAGATCTCATACTTTGGGGAATCGAGTGTCTTTTAAGTGGCACAAGTGTTATATCACTTATCATTTTATAGATTATTAATGTCTTTTTAAAGTCATTACTCCTTTTGGTAAACCAGAGATAGTACACTTCCGTTCAAGTGATAGTATAGAGATCGAGGCTGTTAAAATGCACAGGGTGATTTTGTTGAGTGAATTTACAGGCCACCAGCTGCCCTGCACCAGCTTGCCTCTTTGGGCATTTTTCTCACTGTCTAACTTAGGCACAGGATGTAGGTGGTGCGAATAACACTTCAGGGTAAGCTGAGTGGAAGTAGTTTATTTCTCTTGCAAAACCAGTAAACTGCTTCTCACTTGGTATGCATTAAGATTTAGTCCAGAGAAGTAAGAATGTTTAAAATTCCTGCACTAACATACTAACCTCCAGGTAGTGAACTTACAAGTGTGCAGTGGGTTGAATGCACTCTACTTGGGCAAAATTACCCCGGTACTTGAATGAGAATTTTTTCCAAGTAAGAAAAGGTTGTACAGCTGTGGTTAAAATCCATGTGAACCACAAAGAAATATGTTACATTTTTCCTAATTACCTCTGTTGTCATTCACTGTATTATTTGGACCCTAGCTTTTCCCCAGGCTTTATATTCCTTGTGGAGGTGATATAACAATCTAAGCATAATTCTCTGTCTTGTTCACATCAGTGTTACGTTATTACGGTATTTTTAATATGTGAAGTGGCAATGTTTGGCATTAGCGAGTGCCCTCAGAGGCTTAGGCAAATCTAAATAACTAATTATGTCAATTTAATTATTTCATTATTTTTGGTAAGGTCACCCCTCTTGTAAGCTTAGTTTAATTGCTGCATTTTTACTGAGTTCAGGGTAGTTTTCAGAGTCAAAAGGAAACTTGTTCCAGTTCCACAAGGTGTGAGTCAGAGACATCTGCGGAAGTTACACGCTGCTGTTGGCTTGATCCAACCGCAGAGTGGCCTCCAGTTGATCAGCTTTGCTGTCATTGCCAAGGACTGTTTAGTTGGACGTGCATTATTAAAAGAGGTCACTTGGTAAAGGAGTGTAATTTGCCAGAGGAAAGTGCACTCATGTTAATCTCAGTCCCGGTTTCTCTCAGATGTGAGTTAAGTAATGTAATGCTGCAGCTATTTTCCTGAAAAACGAAAGTAAAGGCAAACACAAATTTGTGGATTAGGGAGAGACAGCTGTGGGGGGAGGGAGGTCTCCATGTAATTCCCTTTAATTTTGTTGTTAAGCAAGGTTTCCACGTGAGTGGCGGATGTTTATGGAAATTTAGAGATCAGCTACTGCAGGTTTTTGAGAACCACATGCTCATGGGGACAGCAGAGGATTTACTTCTGCATCCGGTACATAGCAGCTCTTTGAGATTAGGTAGGACAGCAGTGCAGCCCCTTCTTGCATAGTAGCTACATGGATCAAATTTCTTGAAAATGCTGATGAACACTGGAGGATTGTTAAATTTTCCAAACTTGGGTGTCTAGAAGTCTGGCTAGTCAGTGACCCGTGGCCTGGCTGAGGTCTGCCAAAGCAGCTCGTGTTTGCCTGCAGTCCTTCTCTGAGTGCTATGATGGTGCGAGTCAGGCACAAACCGAGGGCCGTGCGCACTGGTATGGCAGCCCTGGACCCTCCTGCCTTTCAGGAGCCCCACCAGCCGTGAGCAGGTGCATCATGTCACCAAACAGCTGCTGAGTACTGGATGTGCACCGGGGCATCGCCCAGCCACGTAGCAACCTTGGTCCATGGCCCTTCAGCTGCCCATAATAGTTCTTGTGACCTGCAGGAGAGAGACTTCCCTGCATGACAGGAACAGCTCTGTGTGGGTATCACTGTCCTTGGAGCCTAAGCCCCTGCGCAGGACATGCGGGGCTGTGCGCACAGTGCTAGCGTACCATGCTGAAGTCGTTAGTGTATCCCTGTCGGCACAGCTGCTATGCCTGCAGGTCTGTGCTGGAGAAACAAAGTTGTGTGTAGGACCTGAGGGTTTAAAATGTGGGCAATTTTTCCTCATAGAATAACTCTAAGACGAGAGTTTGTTTTGACCCGTTACACTGAACAGCTGCCTACAAACCATTTGTTTCTGCTGCAAACCCATGGGTTTTTCTGTCTGAACACATGGTCAGTTTTCTTAATTTCAATGGACTTTGCCAGCTATTCAATATGGTTTAGTCTGTAGAAAGTCTGAAAGGTATGACTCCCTAAAAATTTTAACTTCTTACATCTGGCAAACACTTTGCATTTTCTTGAGTGAGAACAGAAATAACTCCACTCCCATATGTTTCTGCCTTTGACTCAGCAGTGTCTGTAGGAGTACACCCAAGTCCTAGCAATGTCTAACTGAAGTAAGCAAAAGGTAATGATGTGTTTTTATTAAGTTACCTCAAAGTAGAGACAGTTGTGTTTTTCCCATCCTTGTCAGTGGTTTTACAAGTGATGTTTTGAGCCTGCAGAAATTCTGTGTTAGATTTAATTTGTAAAGTAGGTCAGATGTTTGGCTTAGGCAGTGCGGGGGTTTTACATTACACTGAAACATTTGGGTCATCTAACTGGGGTCTAGAAGAGATCTGATTCTTTCACCAAAAAGTGTTCTTGGTAGTAAAATAAGAAGATTTTGCAATAACCTAATTTATGCTCACTGTCTCTTCTTTGCAGGTATCTATGCCAGCAGCTCACGCGACATCTTCTGCGCCCACGGTGACCTTAGTTCAGCTGCCCAATGGGCAGACGGTTCAAGTGCATGGCGTAATTCAGGCTGCCCAGCCATCAGTTATTCAGTCTCCACAGGTCCAGACAGTTCAGGTACTGACTGAAGAAATTCCTAATATGTGAATTGGGCCTTTTGAATAGTCCTGCCAGTTCACTGGTTTCTAATATATTTGTGTTGTGGATTGTGTTTTGGCTTTTATAAACTTTAAGAGCGTGTTGGCAGCAAAATCTGTATAGTATTTGCTACTCTGTGACTTTTTTTCTGTTCTGGTTTAACCACTTTTCACTTTTCAAACATTGCTGAGTTTCATTTCCCTCTAGAATTCAGTTGGTGAGTTTAACAGCTTCATGGTTTTTCTTACAGTGTTACTATACTTTTTCTCACTACTATATTTTCAGACATCTTTATTGAGTTAGAGTTCATACTATTCTGAAGTGACAAAAGGGATTTTTTTTTTATAATGTGATCTTTAATCATTAATGAGGCTGATATTCTGGGAGGGGAGTCTTTGCTACTTAGAAATATTTGCATTGGTTTACAAAACAGATGTGTGTAAAATAAACCTATCAATCTTCTCATAAAAATGGTTTTAAAATTTGCCTATTGAATATTGTTTGTTTTGTAAAGTCTTAGCATTTTCTCAAGACAGGTAATGCAAAATGATGAGGTAGCTTGAAAACATAGGAGACAAGTAGTCTGAAATCTTAAAAACCTGTCACTTTTTTTTTAACCACTTTAAGCTGACTGTTACTGAATGCAGAAAGAAAAATTGCCTAGCGTACAGCAGCTACACAGGGCAAGCACTGTACATCATTCCTTTGCTATTAGTACACTAAGCTCAAAAATTGTTTGATTTTAAAAAGTAGACATTGTGACCGTTTGATACAGATATTTAGCTGGGTATTATTTTAAAAAATAATAAGGCATGTATAATTTAAAACTAGGCCATTCTGGTAATAATCTTTGTTTACTCCTTGTCATCTTTGGTGCTGAGTCTCTGGCAGGCTCTACCCTCCTCAGCCATTGGAGTCAAAAGTTTAGAGTTTTAATCTATCAGAGGTGAGCAGTTTTCAGATAAGTGCACAAGTTACTAGCCCAGAGGTGGAAGATGAGACTGACAATGAAACCATGCTTGGAATTCTCCTGGCTCAGTGCAAAGCCAGCATGTTTGGATATTCAGAGCCCCAGTAGTTCACAGTCAGCCTTGGACCTGTTCAGGCCCTCTGTCTGATAACTGAGATTTGGGCACCAGCGAGCTTTTTGTGCCTTTAGGAATCTTCCCTTAGTGCATAAAATGTCTGGCTGTGAGCTATGTTTCTCACACAGGCATTCCTCTATTCACTATCATTAGCTTTTGTATATTTGGCATGTGACTATAGTCTCTTGGAAAATAGTCTCTGCTTTTATATATTGGAGATGTTTTTACATTTTTGGCACACTTTGAGTTTAAAATTACTGAAATACGGTTGATACAAACATTTTAGCTTTCCTTCATAAACCGTTGTCTTTTTTTTAGCATAAATGTTCAGAATTGCAGCACTGCATTATTTTTTAGTATCTTCATGTGACATTTTCCTGACAGTTTCCCCCCTCAAAGGCACTCTCTCTATATTGTATCTACCCAATTATTTAGAAATTGATGTTTTTCAACTTCTTTGTTTCCAAAAATTTCTGCTGTCTTAATTTGGTTTTAGTTATTCTCTCCCTAAATTTTACTAAAAAATCTTGTTTCCTTAAAATGGATGGAAAGAAGGAATCATGGAAAGGGAAAAGTGTGTGGAATTACTGTTTATATTTTCTTGTTGGAGTATTTAAATTATAAAGTACATTCTCACTGGTATAAAACTGACTATGGTCATTCTTCACTGGATCTGTTTCTAAGTAACCTGCCCTGTCTGTTCATTGCCTATGTAGAAGCACTGTGGAATACTGGCTTTGTTGTGTTTTCGCAGGCTGTCAACATTTCCTTAAAATAAAGACATTGGAAGTGTCTTGTTAAGTTTGATTGTTGTTCTTATTTACAGATCTCCACTATAGCAGAAAGTGAAGATTCACAGGAATCAGTAGACAGTGTCACAGACTCACAGAAACGAAGAGAAATTCTTTCCAGACGACCCTCCTACAGGTATGGAGGTTAAAAGCAAAAGCGTTTTGCTTGATGGATGTGTTCATCACTTGGGGAGACAAAGCAGTGTGATTATATAGGTTTTTTTACATTTACCAGTTAACTGAAATCTCTCTTCTGCAATGTCTTTCCATGGAATAGGATGTAAAGATATAAGATACAGGAGGAGGAGGAAGAAACCTCAGCTGTTACACTCGGTTAAGACAGAAATGAGCTGAGAATAAGCTAATTGCCACATTTGTGAAATATCAAGGTAGCATTGTGCTAGGTGCCTTAAGAGATAGCTTTTATGGATACTTAATACATGAAATACACAGAAGTTTTGCAAGAAAGTGGCTTCTATATAATCTGTAGTCTGCAAAAAATGAACTTTATTGGTTTTCACAATTGTTGAAATGCTAGCAGCAATCAAACTTAATTCCTTTCACCCATGAGACTTTCAGCGAGCATGTGGTGTTCTATGGCTCAGAGAGAATTTCTGCTTGAGCAAAATTGGTTGTGTTTAAGAAGTCAGGGTATGAGTTGAATGTAGTGCAACACATCTAGTATCTTTAATTGTTATGGCAAATGACTTTGCAGTAAGACCAGCTGAGGTGCTCCTTCATATGGTGTTGGTCATATATTACTTTATTAATTAAGCCATTGCACAGCTTTTTCTGGCTGTACTAAATCTCAATTTTCATTCTTAAAACAAGCTAAATAGCATTGAGGAACAGCT